TTGCCCTTCAAACTCCCGTCAACGCTGGACTCGCCACGGCCAAAGCCAGAGTCACCATCATTTCCTCCCAGTCTTTGACCAGCACCTCCAGGAAAACCATTACCCAGCCTGTCTTCATCTCCTTTTGATGTGCCTTTTGCTCTGTCATTGTCTGTTGGATCTTTGATGCTGCGCTCATTTCTTGACTGAGGTGTCGTTTGCATTGTCCACATTGCCGAGAGGAATGATGCTTTCACCAACAACCCTCTGCTGATTCTGGCTCCATGCTGATCTTTGTCATCTGCCCAACGATTACTAACACCCTTTCCTTTTTACCATTTCTGTTACCCTTTGATGCAGGATCATTTGATGCGGGATGCTTTGATGTGGGATCCTTTGTATTTGCATTTGAGTTTTTCTTCCTGTCACCTTTACTGTTATTGTCGTTATCATCTTGATGACCAGGTCTCTCCTCCAGTTTCTTCATGAGTTCCTCTACCTGGTCCACCACGATTTCCTCCCTGAGGTCCTCTATATGGTCCTCTATCTGGTCCTCCATGAAGTCCTCTACCGGTTCTTCCACCAGTTCCTCCAAGAGATCCTCTATCTGGTGCTTCATGAGATTCTCTAGCTGGTCCTCCGCCAGATCCTCCATGAGGTCCTCTCTATCTGTGTACCTTGCCATGAGGTCCTTTTATCTTTTCCTCCGTCCTGTGTCTTCCAAGAGATCCTCTATCTGGCCTTTCCACCAGTTCTCCTCCAAGAGATCCTCTATCTGGTTTTCCACCAGTTCCCTCCAAGAGATCCTCTATCTGGTTTTCCACCAGTTCCTTCCAACCAAAACCAGTAGGCCCTGATACACCTGTTCCTGGATATACCCCCTGGTCTTCCATTTAACCCACCCCCTTCAACACATCATCATCCCGGACCCTTTCTTCTGTCTCACAGCTGCCAGTGGACTCACTACTGTTCTGATCACTGACCTTTTGCTTTTCATTGGATCACTGTAGCCCTGGTCTTCATCCTCTTGTAGGTCTTTTCCAGTGTCCACAGTTTGTCAAACGGGTTACTGTCCTCTTGACCTCCTGTGGTGGGGTCTACCAGGCGTCAATAATCCCTTTGGGTGGAAGGGAGAATCGTGGTAGACCCGCAGGCAGCCCTTTGGAATACTCTGATATTGGTGGGCGGAACATCCCTCTTCTTAGGCCTCTGTCCCTGGACCCGATGAAAGGAAAGGCCTGGTATTAGTATACTTCATTATTCAAACACATTCAGCCAAATAACAATTTGGACCTATTAAAACATCGGACAAACATTGGGACAAACAGTTACATAAATGTACATACATGTGACCTATAACCCGTGAAGATCCAGAAACTTCGTCAACCTACGCCTGCCGTCTAACGGGATAACGTGAGTCAGGCTTGGCTAATCTTGGTTGGTTATAGTATGCAAATTGTGTGTAGGATACATGGCCATGCTGTTGATCACTTGATTGTCTGGTCCAGACTCGATTATTACAGACAGCCGTCATATAGCGGGAATATTGCTGAATGCGGCGTTAAAACAACAAACAAACAAACAAAACCGAAGACCTTTACAAGATGAAACCCATCTGTATGCCCACATTGTAACTGGAACATCCTCCCCGCCTGGTTGCCTGGTAACATGACGTGTACATGTGATCTGGAGTGAGGTCGCACTGGAGGACACGGAGGACCTGGATGTTAAAGCGTCCTCCTCTTATTCTGGGGACCTCATTCCCATCAAACTCTGCAACCCTACAGAATAGAAGATGCATTCCGTGAAGGGACACTGGTCATCAGAATCATATCGTGTGTTATATCCATGGGCAGGACACATACACGTTAACTGATCTGAATTACGTGCTCAATGCAGTAATAAAAAGCAAAGCTGATACTGATATTAAATATAATCCCTGACATCAGCTAATGTGTTTTGATGGATGCCTTGATTCACTATCCATGGGCAGAAGTCGCCATATATTTACAATACTTATATTCCCACAGAATGAGAACATATATATCAAAGGTTTTCAGAGGGCAACAAGGATGAGCATAACGCATGGTAACCGTGCTGGGAATCGAACCCAGTCCTTTTACCAACAACGTTACATACCAACCAATGAGGGGCAGCCCTTTTGGGTATGACATAAATAATGCATAGTTGTCACCAAAACTGACATAAAACAAACATTAACATTTATATATGTTTGTCCAAATCGAGAAAGCCAATCACACCCAGTCACACCCAAAGAAGGAGTCATATATCACAAAAGAAAGCCATTCCCCAGAGATGTCACACCCAAAGAAAGCCATTGCCCAGAAGAAGCCAATCACACCTAGAGAAAGCCAATCACGCCCAGAGAAAGCCAATCACACACCCAAAGCCAATCACACCCAGAGAAAGCCAATCACACCCAGAGAAAGCCAGTCACACCCAGAAAGCCAATCACACCCATAGAAAGCCAGTCACGCCCAGAGAAAGCCAATCACACCCAGAGAGCCAATCACACCCAGAGTAAAGCCAATCACGCCCAGAGTAAGCCAATCAAAGAAAGAGAAATCCAATCACAAAGTAGAAGAGACAGTCAGCCTTTTATTTCTCATGACGTACGGGGTTTCGAGTGACCATGAGTCCTTGCTGTGCTTCGTCCTTGAGTTTGCCGTCGTTCTTTGTTAAACGGATCTGTACCAGTCTTGTCTTGACCCTGTAGCTCAGTATCGTCGTCTTGCTCAGAAGGATTCCAAAGCTCTGGATCCTTGCGCTGACCTATAATCCTCGGCTCCTTCTCCGGTTTCCTGGGGGTCAGTGTGACAGAGTTCATTTAGTGACTATTGACCATCAAGGACACCCGTGTAAGTATAATCTACAGAACGTGATTATGAAATATAAATGTTAACGTCAAGAATTAGGTCAGAGAAAACTGTTGACGGCATGCATATTGTGAAAAAAGGCTTATGTTCCTACGGTGAGTTTAGTTTTACACCGCACTCGGCACTGTTCCAGTTATATGGCGGCGGTCTGTAAATAATCGAGTCTGGACTAGTAAATCCACATTCTTGACCAACTCGTGTTACTCCGGGACAAGCTGAATAGCGAATCGTACCCTTCTGGAAGGATTTCATATTGGCGCGTGAACATCAGAACTACTTTAAACAAGAACGATAACTCCATCCCAATGTCAAATCCTTAATATTACCGAAGCACTCGTACAATCATGTATTGCTGTTTCGAGTTCATTTTTTCATTTTATAGAATTAAACCTTTTGATACAACTAAAGAAGGAGAAAAAAGCATATTTTAAAGACAGATTCTAAAGAAATTTTTAACCAGTTGTTCATCTTACATTTCCAAATGTATATTCTAAATAGGATTTAAGAATCACATGTGGGATTTGTTTATTGAATATGAAAAACCCAAACTTTTCAGCTACAGTAAATCCTAAAAACACATACTAAAAATTACGTAAATATGTTTCTGAAACTGAACATTCATGTAACCTTGCTGCCATACCCTGGTGAAATTTTAAACAATAGAAAAAAATATGAAAAATATTTTTCATAATATATCAAACAATGACATAATGCCATGAACGATTTGAGTACTCAGGGTTATTTTTAGCAAAGCACACCAATCACTACGCGCGTTTTCATTTGTTTGTCGTATTTTCGCACATAACAAGTATCGATAGGGGACGAGTCTTCTTGGTGGTTACGGAAAGGGGCGAGTGGTGACGAATGGACAATCCAGTGATCAACAGCATGAGCATCGATCTACGCATTTGGGATACGATGACATGTGTCAAGTCAGCAAAATCTGACCACCCGATCCCGTTAGTCGCCTCTGACGACAAGCATGGGTTACTGAGGATCAATTCTAACCCGGAACCTCACGGGTACAATCCATCAAGCGCTGCCTGAAGAGTGTTATCTATCTAATAAACTCACGGGTAGAATTGTCGGGACGGCATACAGACACCCTTTGTTGTGCCGTTTGGTCGGTGCATGAGTTAGGTAGACAACTCGCATTTTCACATTTATTAAGTGATTAGTGACATTTTCAGTTATTCTATAGATATCAATGATGTCTGTAAGATATATGTAAATAATTAAACATATGTTTCATTAATTTCCGATATCAAAAGTAGATATCTTAAAACGTTACTGAGACATGAATACAACATTTCTCGATATCTCTAAATGTGCTTAAAAACAATAAGAACACTGTCTGTGAGCAGGATGTCCAGGTGGTACCGAGATAGCAATCTGTGTCTAGGTGATGACACATGCAGACACACTCGTGGATGGTGGGGTAGCCCAGAGGATTAAAGCGTTCTGTCGTCACGCCGAAGACCCGGGTCCGATTCCTCACACGGGTACCATTTCTGGTGTCCCTCGCCGCGATATTGTTGGAATACTGCTAAAGGCGGCGTAAAAACTAAACTCACTCACTCAGACACAGCACACAGCCAGTTCTGTAAACAACAAGTAAAACCAAAACCCCAATAAAAAAAAAATAAATAAAAAAAAATAACAAAATAAAAATAAAAAAAAAAAACAACAACCACCCAACAAATGTATGTACCATTACTGCAGGTGATCAGGTTTATCTTGTCTTAGATTTGTTTGTTTGTTGTTTAATTGTTGGGTCAAGTCTCCTCTGTGCTAGTAGCGTTCGCCCCTTTCATCCCAAAACACCCTTTTCTGGTGTCCCCGCCGTGATATTGCTGGAATATTTCTAAAAGCGGCGTAAAACCAAAACTCAGTCAGTCAGTCAGTCCCAAACAAGCAGCTTAAGATAATTTGGACAGATTATAACAGATCCGTAAGCATGTAAGTGCTGTTTGCCATTGTAGTTTCCAATATCACATACATATCTGATATACATAAGAGTGTCTTGAGAACAGTGTACTCTTAACTGCAGGCGTCATAAATCGACACACATTACATCTGTGCCTTACCTGCCAGGTACATCTGCAGGAGGTACGGTATACGTCTTCATCCCCTTATCCGATTCCAAATCATCTTCTTCTCAACATCCTTGACTTCTTCCTTCTGTTTCTCGTCCAGTTCCTCATGCTTGAGAGGCGGCGGTGGTTCCACTGTGTCTTCATCTTCGTTCTCATCCACAGGCCTTCATGGAAAGAATTGTCGAACATCCATACATGTGCGTTATGAACTGTTATATACTGGAAACAAGGCAGTGTTCCTTTATTTAATCTCAGATTTCCCCAAAACGATATTCAGAGCTGGTGATGAAAACTGGAAAATATTAAAGGAAAGCTTGAATTTTATTTGTTCCATTCCTAGTTTCTCTCAGTATATTTACAGTTCTTCATTTAAGGGCTGATATATTGTAACGGTAATATTTGTTTGGAGTCTTGTCCCGGACGTGTGACAGAGGCATGGCAGGGCCAAGTTCCTTCTTGTATCTTACAAACATCTAAATGTTCACCAACTGTAACAGATCTTTAAATGTTGTTTGACAACAAATTCTAATATCATCTGCATATCTGATCATTTAGTCTTTGAAATGATACAAACAACATAGGCGGATCCAGAGGGGTGGGAGGTGGGGTGCGGAACCCCCGGCCCCCCGTCCTGAAAGTTCACTTAATGAACCGACCCTTTTTCTAAACAATCTGTATCCGCCCCTGGCCAATTCCTCTCCCTAGTCCCAATAGTCTCTTTTTGTCGGTTTGCTCTTAAGTAATATGGAGTAACATATAATCATTCTCTTTCTGTCTTACTTGGAGATCACAGATGGGTCACGTTCGTCATCTTTCATCTTCCTCTTGTCATCCGGGTCCAAATCATCTTCTCCAACATCCTTGACTTCTTCCTTCTTCTGTTTATCATCCAGGTCCTCATGCTTGAGAGGCGCAGGTTGGTTCTTTGTGTGTTCATCCTCGTCCTCATCCAGCCTACAAAAAACCCCTTTTTGGTGCAAAAACATCTGTGTAAAGATCGAAACATTATCATGGCCCACAAGGAGCCCCGATATGAACCCAATCGTACATCTTTGTGACTATCTTGGACGTCAAGTTCGAGTTAGAGGTCCTCCTGTTCAAAATTTGCACGAACTGACGCAGGTACAGCATAAGAAATGCCAGAGGATTCCGATACTGGGAACTTGACGCTTGATGCGGTATGAGGATGAGACTGACAGAAGTTATCAGTGTGAGGTGTGACTACGCCAGGTACTGATGTGGTCGCCAGTGGTCGTTTATACAAACAATCATTACTTGAGACCTGTGTCACAATCTGATTTGTTGCGTTGTCATGGTGACCATATTTACAGGTATTGTTGATATTCACGTGTATTCCTCAGCAACCCATGCTTGTCGTAAGAGGCGACTAACGGGATGGGGTGGTCAGGCTCGCTGGCTTGGTTGACACATGTCATCGGTTCCCAATTGCGCAGATCGATGCTCACGCTGTCGATCACTGGATTGTCTGGTCATATTTACAGACCGCAAATATATAACTGGAATAATGCTGAGTGCGGCGTAAAACTAAACTCACCACCGGGACCCACTCACTAACATCTTAATACGAGGAATTTTGTATTCAAAGTATATACAACAATACGTAGCGGTTCCGTACTTATATAAAACGTGTGTGGGGCTTAATTAATACCCATGCAATAATCTTAAATGCAACTTCTAAGTCCCACAACACCCCACCCCACCTGACTCGACTCACCTCACCTCACCTCACCTCACCTCACCTCACCTCACCTCACCTCACCTCACTTATCTTCTACCACATTGCTTCATGTAATTACAGATATAAGTTCTGCCTTACCTAGTAATCACAGATGGATCACGTTCATCATCTTCCTTCTTTCCCTCGTCATCCTTCTTCTTTGCCTCGTCGTCCTCATTTCCCTCGTCACCCTGCTTCTTTGCCTCGTCATCCTCATTTCCCTCGTCACCCTCCTTCTTTGCCTCGTCATCCGGGACAAGTTCATCTTCTCCAACATCCTCGACTTCTTCCTTCTTCTGTTTGTCAGGGTCCTCATGCTTGAGACGTGGAGTTTGTTTCTTTGTGTGTTCATCGTCGATCCCCACCACACGTGACCTGCAAGCATTGAACTTTCCACCAAACAACCAGATTTGGGATTCTGAAGTAATAAATGACAGTTTGCTGGTTAACGCCCAAATCCGCAAATTCCAGCTGTATGACGGCGGTATGTTTGAACCAGACAATCCAGTGATTGACACCATGAGCATCCATGTGTAAAAGACGAATACTTATAAACCTCCCAAGAAAGGAGACACATCATTAAGACATGCAGGAAGGGGAGTGGTGTAGGGGAGGGGTAGCCCAATGGTTAACGCGTTCGCTCGCCACGCCGTTGACCAGGTTTGATTCCCGACCTGGGTACAATGTGAGAAGGCCATTTCTTGTGTCAACTGCAGTGTTATTGCTGAATTATTTCTAAAAGCGGCGTACAACCTTATTCGCTCACTCATGCTATTCATAAAGGTATCTTTCATGTTATGTCTGCAAATGTAGGGTCTACTTTCGAAGTAACGATGCTTCATCTGTAAAAGCTTTATTAAAGGGTATAAAACAAAACGCATCTATAATTTCAAGACAGATGCTGCTTCATTTCTTTTAAGTATTGTTTTCCAGACTAACAAGAGTCACATGCCTGGTTTGGATAGCTCAGCTGATCCTAATGACCAAACGATGGGGGGTTAACCTAGATTTAGTCCTTTGGTTGTACGAGTCGGACTTAAGTACTTGGAGCGCAGGACACTGGGTTCAAGGCTAGCTTAAGTACAACACTCACTTAAAGTGTAGAACAATGGGTTCACGTCTAGCTTAAGTACAACACTCACTTAAAGTGTAGAACAATGGGTTCAAGACTTGCTTAAGTACAACACTCACTTAAAGTGTAGAACAGTGGGTTCACGTCTAGCTTAAGTACAACACTCACTTAAAGTGTAGAACAGTGGGTTCAAGGCTAGCTTAATTACAACACTCACTTAAAGTGTAGAGCAGTGGGTTCAAGGCTAGATTAAGTGAAACACTCACTAAAAGTGTAAAACAGTGGGTTCAAGGCTAGCTTAAGTACAACACTCACTTAAAGTGTAGAACAGTCGGTTCACGTTTAGCTTTAGTACAACACTCACTTAAAGTGTAGAACAGTGGGTTCAAGGCTAGCTTAAGTACAACACTCACTTAAAGTGCAGAACAGTGGGTTCAAGGCTAGTTTAATTACAACACTCACTTAAAGTGTAGAACAGTGGGTTCAAGGCTAGCTAAAGTACAACACTCACTTAAAGTGTAGAACAGTGGGTTCAAGGCTTGCTTAAGTACAACACTCACTTAAAGTGTAGAACAGTGGGTTCAAGGCTTGCTTAAGTACAACACTCACTTAAAGTGTAGAACAGTGGGTTCAAGGCTAGCTTAAGTACAACATTCACTTAAAGTGTAGAACAGTGGGTTCAAGGCTTGCTTAAGTACAACACTCACTTAAAGTGTAGAACAGTGGGTTCAAGGCTAGCTTAAGTACAACACTCACTTAAAGTGTAGAACAGTGGGTTCACGTCTAGCTTAAGTACAACACTTACATGGAGAATAGAAGAAGATGGTCCAATTCAGGTTTGTTAAACACTTACTTTGATAGTAGAAGAAGTCGGTTCATGTTTAGCTGAAGTACAACACTTACATGAGAAAAGGAAGAGGATGGTCCAATTCTGCTTTTGTAAAACACTTACTTTGATAGTAGAAACAGCGGGGTCCAGTTTGGCTTAAGTACCACACTTACATGGAGAATAGAATATGGTCCAATTCTGCTTTTGTAAAACACTTACTTGGAGAGTAGAAGAAGTTGGGTCCAGATTAGCTTGAGTACAACACTTACTTGGTGTGTACGATTCCAGGTTAGCTTTTAGACACGTACCCGGAATCCTCGGAGACGGAGGCTTCCTCCCCGATGAGAGATTCTTCGTCTGATCTCTTAGAGTCTCTGTGAACTTTTTTCTCAGCGTAACTCCAGCTGATCTCCCCATATCTGTAACGTCATAACGTAACATGTAACTTTATCACGACTGCGACGGTGTAACGCGGAAGGAGACAAGTGACAAATTGAAACACATTTCATAACACTTAGACGAGATTTCACACAAAACACAAGCCCTCTATATAGTGTTTGTTTGTTTGTTTGTTCGTTGTTTAATGTCGGACTCAGCTATTTGCCTGCTCTGTGACTGCGGTCTGTAATTATAATCGAGTCTGGACCAGACATTCCAGTGACTGATATCATGAGCATGAATCTACCTTCTGTACTGATAGACTGACATCTTGTCTTTGAAATGAACAAGTTTTACAGCAAAATAAACCCCAAGTTCCTAAATTATACTCAGACAATATAATAGAAAGGAGCCCAGGGAAGTTCTAATAGTAAACACTGATGGCAGGTAGAGATTAAGGGACCGTTCATAATTTATGGCTAGAGGGGTGATGATGATGTTAAGGGAGGGTCACCCATTTTGTTCTGGCGAGCTAGGGGGGTCATTAATTTTGTACACACATGCTAGGGGGGTCAGCAATTTTGTACATAAAAATGTGTTCAAAATTATGCTTAGAAATTATGGGAAGGGGAGTGGGGAGTGATTGATTTTGTACATGACATGCGGGGTTCACTTATTTTGCACATAATTTTAGGGGGGTCATTCACATTGTACATGCTTCTCCATAAACATCATCATCATCCCCCCTAGCCATAAATTATGAATGGTCCCTAACTGATGATAAGAAGCTCTGTCCCAGCTTAACCCGTGAAGATCCGGTTACAACTGATCTTCAGTAACCCATGCTTGTCGTAAGAAGCGACGAACGGGATCGGGTGGTCAGGCTCGCTGACTTGTTTGCCACATGTCATCATATCCCAATTACGTAGATCGATGCTCATGCTGTTGATCACTGGATTGTCTGGTCCAGATTCGATTATTTACAGACTGTCGTCATATAGCTTGAATATTGCTGAGTGCGGCGCAAAACTAAACTCACTCACTCACTGTCCGAGCTCAATTCAGAGCTGTACACACCCTGAAACTGTAGTAATGTAGATTTGCCACATATTCTAGACAGGATGTTTTGTGTATGACAGACTAGGTAGCGACGGTATACCTGTTTTCATAATACGGTTTCGAGTCCGCTTCTGATTTCTTCCGCGAACATGGGCCTGTAAAACAATCAAGTGTTGGCGAATAAGGTAATTAAGTATATGATTACACTGTATAATCACGGAATGGTACTTAATACTATGACTAATCTCAGATGACAAGTTTAATTTTACAATATATATATTGGGTCCTCTTGCGCAACGCGAACGTAGTACCAAGACCGGTCTAACGGTATAATCTACTTAAATTTGGGCTTGCGACATTATACCGCTATGATGGCATCAGCTGTCGTTGTTGAGTTTGCAAGGATTTCGATGGCTGTTTTGGCCGTGCATTTAATGCAAGTAAAACTGACTCAGCTATCTGTCATTTTGAAAGATTCATGAGAAAATCTACATTAGCCATAGCATAGTTTAATTTCGTTTGATTCTGAGAGTAGAAGCAACGGCAACAGTTCTTAATGATTTAGGTAAGCTGACACATCATGATATGGGTTCATACTGTTTTGTCCTTGAAAACGGCTTTCAAAGCAACGTTGAAATAATTAATGACGGTTGAGAGGCTCCGTAACCAGTCGTCGCTTAACTTTTGACTATCAGTATATTTGTGACTGAAGACAGAGCCCAGTCAAGTGACTGGTTTACTCACATCGCTTCTTGCGACAGAAGATGTAGATGAGCAGCGCTATCTGTATGACCAGGAGGATGAAGATAAGGACGGAGACGACGATGACGGCAGCCAACTCCCCGTCCGTCACCACCCTGTCAGGGTCCACATCCGCTGCGGAAAACATCAACATCGGTGTTATCTGCATCACACGCCTATGGTGTAGACATTTCGATCAAGAAATAATAAATAACAATTAAGAATATTATAAAGCGCCTTTCCAGGCTCCATATCCTGCTCAAAGAGCACAATCTGATTAATTTAATCCAGGATAACCCAAGGTGCCTGTGAGGCGCTAGAAAGTCAAAGTCACATGACTTATCCCTTCGGGTACCCATTTTCTGCTGGGTGAACAGTGGCAATTTTGAACAAACTCACTTGCCTGATGTGTGATCTGGTCTCTCTCTCTCGCTCTCTCTCTGCCCCTCTCTCTCTCTCTCTCTCTCTCTCTCTCTGTCTGTGTGTGTGTGTGTGATATCTCAATGTTTTTAAATCTTTAATCCCAGCAAAGACACGAGGGTCTGTGGCTGAGACGCCTTCACGTAACTGTAATCGACGTAAAACTCACCTCACTGACTCACGCGAACTTACCTGGTGTGTCAGACATAGCGATCAATCGAGCCCCTAAAAAACAAGAGATACAGATCGTAAAATGTACAGATGGTATGGAACTGTCTCAAATACTGCATCCTATCATGCTGTTTCTGAAGTGTCATAGTTTTACACTATTTCTGTCTCAGCGAAACCTCGTTAACCTGGACAGCAGCCTGTCATTGTATACATGTCAGCGTTCCTAGTATCAACGTGTGTCTGGATAAACCGGGCGAGGGCTATAAACACACGAGGTATGGAGTACACAAAAACGATTATGGCAACATATTATTGGATCCGGATTATGTATAAACAAGATCTGAATTGTTGTTTGTTGTTTAACGACACACTCAGCCATATCCCAGCTTTATGACGGTAGTCTGTAAATAATCGAATCTGGACCAGACAATCCAGTGACTGACATCATGAGCTTCGATGTACGCGGTTGCGATACGATGACATGTGTCAACCAAATCAATCCCCGGCCACCTGCTCCCGTTAGGCTCTTACGACAAGCATGGTTTGCTGAAGACCAATTCTAACCCAGATCTTCGCGGTACTCTGCTAAAAGTGGTGTACCAAAACAGCTAACTGTATATCTAATTTGCAAATCTGGTTTCATCTGTGTCGACCAAGTCAGCGAGCCTGACCCCCCGATCCCGTTAGTCGCCTCTTATGACAAGCACGTGTTACTGAAGACCAATTCTAACCCGGATCTTCACGGATCCGTATGATATCTGAACTATATAAACGATGTCTACACTATATATAAATGCGGTTCGAAGGATACATTATAGGGATCCAAAAAATACATAAACCAGTTTCAGATTTTAGAGATCTGTGTATTGATATTTTACACACAAATAAACCCAAGAGTATTCTCTATACATAAAAGCTCAGATGCTTTACTGCATTGGTGATGGTAATATGTGATGAACACTGTCGGGGCTTTGACGTGACACTAATACAACCAGCCTTAATCACAGCTGAATATGTATGGCCCATACATATAAGTCACCATGCTAAACTAAGACAATTGGTGTTATGCTCGGCGGAAATATACTAACACGTATACGAAAATACCATTGCTTCATTCGGCTTACATCACTGGTGGAAACATTGCGTTTATGTTTTTCAACGGATATAATGTCTCAGTTCGACTCACAATTAATCAGCGACACGGCAACGTTCGCAATGTTTACATTCCCACAATGCATTTAAGTTGCAGAATGAATGAATTCACGTGTTTGTTATGAATGAAAAAATAGTTACGTCAGAATGTGACCTAATTGAGAGGTCATCGGTTATCCAATCAAATCGTTAGAATCTCAGGTCAAGTCGTTACGACACAGGTCAACGCGATACGACACTGTGTTGTGACGTACGAGATTAACTAACCATACGTAGACCTACGTCGGTAATCAACGAAAATAGCATTTTCTCAACTATAAAATATATCACATGCCGAAAAGTGATACGTTTAATTTGGAGGCCTTGGAGTAGCCTAGTGGTTAAAGCGTTGGCTTTGTCACGCCGAAGACCCGGGTTCGATTCCCCACATTGGTACAATGTGTGCAGACCATTCCTGGTATCCCTCGCCGTGATATTGCTGGAATATTGCTAAAAGCGTCGTAAAACTAAACTCATTCACTCACTATACGCTTAATTTCATAAAACATCTTTTGCTGAGGACCTGAGCCATTTTAGAAACCCAAAACATCTTTACAGTTCACCCAAGCATGCTTGCACATGGCACATACATACAAACAGAAACAGGAACACAGACTCGCATACACACAAAGACACTGATAGACACCCAGGCATATTAACACAGGACACATACATACATACAGCCAGGAACACAAACAGACACACATAGACACGGGCACATTCATTATCGGAACACAAACAACGGGCTCACACACAGACTAGGTTTAGAGCACGGTAATTGCCGGGAGACATTTAGAGCATTATCGGAGACTAGGGTTTTATGATTGCAATGGGAATCAACTAGGCTCAACAAAGGTAATTACCGGGAGACTAGGTTTAGAGCATCTGACAACAAACGTCTGACTAGGTTTTAGCATCCAGCACAGCGAAATGCAAGTCATTCACTTTGTAAATACAACTGATTTGTCATTCTAACTGTCGGTGATGTCGCTGAACACACCCCTACGTCTACGTTTCCCACAAGTCATCTAGCACAACGTCTCGATATTCTGTCACAGACTCTGAAACATATATACTGACGTACAAAGAAACTACACAACAGTTGCTTTTAGGATTACCATTTGGCACCACGTACACAGTGCTTGTGACTTGCTAGTTACAATCACTTTTCAAAATATTTACGTCGTTTCGAGAAACTACTCCAGGTGTGTACTTTCTTTTGAAAGTCAGTTTATATCCGATAAGTCCCATGAATGCATTTAATGTGTTACTAGTCCAGGTTGCTGCCCCGTGTATGAAATGTGCATTATGTCGGAAAGCGCACGTTAAATCTCCAAATCACCGTCTAGATTCCTACTGTGAAATAGAAGAAAGTATCTGGACTCCTTTGTATTATATACTGAGAGAAACAAATAACGGAACAGGAAAATTCAAGCGTTTCTTTAACATTTTCCAGTTTTCATCACCAGCTTTGAACAGCGCTGCGGGATGAAATCTAAAATAAATAAAGGAAAACTGCCATGAAGTAGGCTCCCTTACTTGTTTCCCCAGTATATTATAAAATGAGATAATTCAACTGTTTTGTCTGGCATATGGTCGTTTCAGAGACTAGATGTTTATCAAAGTCCAGACTTTCACCGAACATTGACACAAGATCATCGAGCATAGCTTAGCTTGAAATATAAATATTCCTACAACAAACTTTAACTTACCATAATCACATATCCAGCAACGATATAATCCACATATAACCGCGACCCGAAGCCTCACAGTTTGAGGGGTGCATGTGGAATGTTGTCTACTCCATTCAAGCGGCTTGTCTCCACTATGGCGTATAGCAACAGGTAGCCCAGGTAAGGGTATGGCAGGCACGGCTTCTCAGTGTGGCGTCCATTCACCGTATTGGTGTCAGTCGTACAAAGGCTCTTTTGCGAATACACTTTTGATATTCAGTGGTTGTGTATCGAGGTTTGATACGTACAGAAGTATTAAATGGTCTATGTTTATATTGTCATTGTTGGGAGTTATTGTGTGTAACGTTTTGCGTTGCGCAGTGGCAGGCCCATTGGGGTGAAGAGGTGCGCATCGTATGTGAGACACCTAACGCGAGGAACCCTTCATATATTTGTAATTTGGACTGAAGGGGTCGTTGTCGGCACAGGTACTACAGATATGTACCCCATGTACGTTTCTGTATACAGTAATGTACACCTAAACAAGGTCAAAATACTGAACCGTACCCGATACCTTACACGGACGACGAGTCCATATTTCGCAACCCAAAACCGTATGCAGTTTTTCCCGTTCAACTGATTGTAGATCTTATTGTACTCCGGGAAATATTCGTTACTGTGTATGGTCGTTTCTTATAGAACGCAATTAAATGCATCTATTAACACGGAAAAACTGAACAGAGTTTTACCAATATTTTATAACGATAGGAGTTATTGAAAACTGGGAATATCACAGACGAACTGACCACGTTCCTCAATCTTAAAGCTGCCAAGGATCACATTGATAACGAGCATCGGACTTAATCCGGAACCAGTATCTCTAAAGCTTATAGAACCAAGCTGCAATACGTTTATCTGTCTTTACTGCTGTTTGTATTCCACGTTGGTCAAATCACGTGCGTGCCACATATACCTTCGTGGCATACTCGCGACTGGCCATCGATGCTTCGGTCCAACTAAATGACATAATCTCACGTTCACAATAACAATTTTATCCTAAGTTTTATCTGTAAACGCGATTATCTGCGACAGCTAGAATAGGTATATAATACGGATGACAGTCACAAATCAGGGGATGGCTGTCTAGTAAATTTACTCAGGTATGAAACTTTACTTTCTTCTATTTTGACAAATCTTTACCATTGCTATTCTATAGTAACTGTAATCTATTGTAGATACCTTTAACTATATGTCCGACCCTTGCACAAACCGTTAGGTCTATGTGGAACGTGGCGTCGTTTAATATGTCTCACAATTACTTTGTATTACTGTCTAGATTGTTTATTTGATAATGATTAACTCTACGTTGTTTTGTGGCTATCGTAGATTGTATAGAGTGTGTCGGGTATCCTGACTGTTACATTACGCTATGAGCACTATGCTGTTCTGTGCTGCATGAACGCCCACTGGGTTGATATGTAGAATATTGAACTATTGCATTACTTTGTGATTAATGTAAAACGAATCTACAAGTTATGTTTATTTACTTTGATAGCTGATTGTATCGTTAACATGTTCTAATAATTGATTATATACCATACTATTATTGACTGATTATGTAAAATGATCCTGTGACTGGTGTGTAATAAACTCCTTGTTTATTTACTCAGGTGTTGTGTTGTGTGTAGGTTGGTTGGAATGGTCAGACTTCTTGCCAAGCGAGCTGATTCCCTCGTCTAATTACAACCGTATGACAGTTCCAATCAAGAATACAACACACTGCGGAATGGAATCGTCCAAGAGCACGTTTCTGTATTCCGATTTTGGCTAGGGTACGTTTCTGCGTATAGAAACGTACCTGGGGTACACATCTGTAGTACCCGTACCGAAAACCACCCCTTTAGCGTGATTTGGGCAATTACGGTGCGGTGCGTGCAGTCCTTCCTCTCATCCCTACCCCTCACTCACTCTCATCCCTACCCCTCACTCACTCTCATCCCTACCCCTCACTCACTCTCATCCCTACCCCTCACTCACTCTCATCCCTACCCCTCACTCACTCTTATGTCTACCCCTCATCACTACCCCAACGACCACTATGAAATGTTGGATCAGTAGGAATACAACATAATAATACACTATGCTAGCGGGGAGTCGGTGTTTTATAACAAAAGATACAGTGGTGCGTTTGTGAGTGCGTGTGCGTGCGCGTGCGCGTACGCGTACGTGTGTACTGTTTTTTGGCACAAATTTGGAAATCAAATTCCGTTTGTTTATCCACAAATAATTTCAATTCTTGCCAGTTTTCGACAAAGTAATTTGTTTGTTTCAAATTGGGGGATAAGAAGTGCTCGCCTAACACACTCAAATTCTTGTTGTTCCTTATCAAATAATTATTGTTCCTTATCAATAAAATTTGAAATATCACATCACATTCATGTGATACATAACTTCAAATATTTTGTGATATAGATATAATATATTATATTAACTTGCAGATTGTATCTTGTCCAATTAGTGCACCCAATTCAAAAAGGAATTTACCTAGTCGATCTAGTAGTGAGAGAGTGAGTAAGGTTTAACGCCCAGCGGCGTAGCTACCTTTATAAAAAAGCCCGGGCTTACACGTGATTCTTGCTTAAGAGGTTGGGCAAGCCCTCAATACTATCTAAATATAAAGCTTTGCAACCTGTTGGGCTTACACGAAACAAATGGTTTGCTACGCGCCTGACGCAATGATGAACAGCTATACCATGGCGTGTGCACTTGACGCTGGAGGAATGTGACTTGTCTGACATGTCTCAGGCGCGTATCACATTGTGGAACCCACAAACACAGGTATTGACCTCACAAACCATGAAATATTGACTGAGCGAACCGGGATTCAAACCAACGATCATAGGATTCTGGTGTTCTCTAAGGGACGCAACTCGACCACGAATTGCAGCGCCTGTGACAACCAGGCTGCACGTGTCCCCGCCTATCTGATAAGGTAAGACGAGTAACCTCCCTTTGACAGTTGAATCAAAATTTGTCATTGAGACAGCAACTTTCGATTTTCAACCTAAGTATTACTGAATATATGTCACACGTGACTGAATGACAAATATTTTTGTGCCATTTTTGCAAACAAATGTTAAAAGAAAACGGTTCAGGTGGGTCAGCGGGATAGGTTTTACCCTTTTTATTGTGTAAGCAGAAAGCAAACTATGGTAGATTTTACGGTAAGCTGTTTCCAGACATCTTTGTTAGCAGAGACTTCAGTCCTACGCACTTCTCGAAATATTTCAGTGTATTTGTCATTAATAATGGTTCCGTGAATGCTGTACCAGTGGACGAAAACGGCCGTTTTGACAGCGAAAACAGTTTGAGCCCCAATCTAATAAGTGTACTGAAATCCATACAATTAAACAAAAACAAATATTAAGGTGGGTGAAATAAAGTGAATGCAACACCTCTAAGAAGTTATTTTTAAACGCAAACATAAATCTTTAACCCAGATTTGTTATTAACATGCAGTAAAGAAATATTTTGAAGCTCATGCAGATCGTGACCCCTAAACCCTCCCCCATCAAAAATGCATTTGATTCGTCAGGCACAACCAGTTCACTGGTCTAAGGGAGGCAACTCTGAAATACTACAACACAAATTGGCATTAATGTTACCATTTATCTCAATTGTAGGTTCGAATCCACTAACCGTTGTGTCCGAGTGACTTCAGTGTTTTTTCCCTTTTAATAATTATCTAACAGGGTATTTTGTTAATATAATAAATTTGCATGAGAATCAAATTAACAGTTGCCCTGAAAACTCTCGTATAAAATATTTTCATCGTTGTTTTGGAGAATAGTTGCCCAGAGGTTAAGGCGTGCCTTTGTCGTGCCGAATACTGTTTTTTTAATCCTCAATCAGGTTTACCTTACGTAATTATGTAAACTAGAGAATTTTTTAAGTGTAATCATTGTCCATAAACACTGTTTTACTACAATCTAGACCCGTGAAGATCCGGGTCAAAATTGGTCTTCAGTAACATTGTGTTTGTCGGAAGAGGCGACTAATGGGATCGGGTGGTCAGGCTCGCTGACATTGTTGACTCGTTATCGTTATCGTGGCTTATGATGCCAGTTACATACTTGACGTCATTATTTACAGATCGCCGTTATCTGTTTTGAGTCATTGGTGAGTGCGGCGCTAAACAACAGACAAACAAATTACGCATTAACTCCGTGAAAATTCGGAGGTTTGATTAGGACTCCGACTGCCTAGTGTGGTCTCAAAGGCCACGAAGTAGAGTAGGCATTCATTGGTGATTTCATATTTTTGCCCATGATATCAACCACTGGTCTACACGCTATTATGTCCTTGTCCAGGTATAGCTTGTGTTATGAGGGTGTTGTTTTCTTGGAGGTTATGTCACGTTAATTAATCTTAAGTTATTATGGGTCACAGAAGTTTAAAGCGCTTAGTATGGATTTGAACTCACATCTTGAACATGGGCTAATGAATTTCATCTGTTAAGGAGTTACCTCCTATTTGTTGCTTAGGGCGGAAGAGACCCTTGAAGATCCGGGGTAGAATAGGTCTTCAGCAACCCATGCTTGCCACAATAGGCGACTATGCTTGTCGTAAGAGGCGACTAACGGGAAGGGGTGGTCAGGCTCGCTGACTTGGTTGACACTTGTCATCGGTTCCCAGTTGCGCAGATCGATGCTCATGCTGTTGATCACTGGATTGTCTGGTCCAGACTCGATTATTTACAGACTGTCGTCATATAGCTTGAATATTGCTGAGTGCGGCGTAAGACTAAACTCACTCACTCACTTAATTCTGTAACAGGGAAACAGTCATCACTTTCATCACGAATACTGAAATATATGCGTGCCTGTTTCTTCAAATAGCTTCCCTAAGCAATTTAACTATGATTAATGTCTTTACGACGCAAGCGCACTTAAATTTAAAGTGTTCAACTTCCTAAATCAAATTTAAACCTTTCAGAGTGTTGTTTGTTTGTTTGACGGCGCACTCAGCAATATTCCATCTATGTGAAGGCAGGTTGTACATGAGTACAGCTTGGTCAGCTGACAGGCCAACTGGAATACCTGATTCAACCAAGACCACCCGATCTTACCTATTCTGACAATCATTGCTGCTGAAGACCATGTTTAACCCCGGCATTCAAATGTGTCAGAGAATATAAGTGTTTGTTTGGGAGCCATGCCTGAAAGGATTCTGATTCTGCCTCAAACGACAAGCCCAGAATTCCAAGCAATGGGAGTTTCAATAAACAATAAGAGATTTAAAGGTATGTTCAAGAAAAATAACCCATTCTATTACACATACATTTTAATGCCAATAACAAAGTAATGGGTTGTGCGTATCAGTACAATGGTTTTCTGTATTCTCTGGGTTTTAACATTGATCGTCTTGTTCCCTTACCATCTTACTCTCAGTATGAGCTCGCAGTTGGACTAGACTGAACAAGTATAATATATTGTAATAGATATATTATACTGTCGCGCAAAACATTTATCCGCTCTGATACATGTCTTGCTCAATTCTGTTTGATGCTAAAACGATTGCAACTCACTTCCCTGCGGAATTCGGAAGGGTGTAATCACTGCTTAGTTAATGTGCTACTAATAATTACTGGTCAAATTCTCGCCCATGGGTCTATTAGAAACGCTGCGTCTAATATAGGCGTGCTTTTACTATTTTTGCACATATTATGACATTGAATTTGAAACAGGCATCTACTAGACGAAATAGGTTAATTTCTTTTGGATTTGGTTCTCGGGTGGTGCCTAATTCTTGATTGTCGATATAATATGTGATAGTGTACATCTGTTGAATATAGCACAATCATATTTATTTACAGAAAGATACCCGTATCCCCTGACGATCAGATATAGTGACTTTACCAACAATGATGTAAGAAGTGCTAGTATTTCTCCTCTCAAATACTCGTTACTGATCGCAATGGATGATGACCTTGACGGCTTTAGCGTCACGTGATATGGCAGTTTCGAAAGCACGCAAAGTCTCGTTGAAGGTGAAGTGATGCGTGATTAGGGACTTGACGTTAATCTTGCCTGTAGATAGCATTTCCAATGCGGCTGGGTAACTGAAATGACAAATGAATTTAATTGTAGAAGTTTTTAATTTTTGGTAGTAATGCCAACTGAATAAAGGTTTATTTCAAAATGTTTGAAATCAGGTATTTTCTTTAATATGGTTTAACTCGAATTAAAGATACGTAGTCTTGCCGCTTTGTGTCAGTATATTGAACACACTGATTTGACGTTGAGCATTTTAAAGTTTGGACGGGCTCCTTGTATACGAACGTCAGCCATCATCGACGTAGCCTAGAGGTTAAAACGTTCGCTCGTCTAGCCGCAGGTCGGGGTTCCCCACATGGGTACAATGTGTGAAGCCCATTTCTAGTATCCCCCGCCGTGATGTTGCTGGAATTTTGGTAAAAGCGGCGTAAAAACATACTCTTACCATTTAAACGACCTGCAAGGGGTGATATGGTTCTCGAGGTGTTTGGGGCTACAGGTGCTCAAGGTTCCTATTCCATACAGTACCTATCGTGTTAGGTGATCGTACTTTAACAACATAGCGCTAAGGTTTCTTTGCTGGGTGCTAGAGACATGTGATTGTGAGTTTGCCCTGATAATGTTTCTAAAGTACTGTCGGAAATAGAAAAAAACTGGGTTTAGGTTGTTACTCTGTATCCCTAAAATTAACACAATTGCAAATAGCATATGTCAAAATAACCCACATCGGCCTAACTGGGCGTTCAGTGGGGTGCGTACTAGGATATCCAGAAAAGCATGTTTACTCGTAAAATCGGGCAAAACTTAGAAAAAATACGAATAGCTGCTGAAAACGATAGATCAGACTACAGATGGCAATTAGGTCGCTCAGCCAGGTATGACGACGGACCGTCGACTCACTTGGCATGAAATGCACGTGCTGCCCACAGACACAAGGGGTCATCTCAAATATATTTTATGCTTTTTCATGTGTATTGAATATGTCTGTTGATTATCTTATCTTAGCTAATATCTCTATCCCCAAGCCCGACCACAACTACTATCAGCAACACCCGTCTTGGTTTTGCTTTTGAGACGACCCCTCCTACCTGTTTCTTTTTATAGTGATAGTGAGACTCCATGGCAGCTACATCCTTCATAGTTTCAGTATTAAAGTTGTTGTTTTTACGTCTGCTATCGTTTATAATGAAGCTAAGTCTAATTTCAAAATGGACATTCAAAAAGTGTCATTTGTTATACAATATCATGCACACTAATTTGCATAAAGCCATGGTCTGCTCTAAATAAGTCTTTTCGGACTTTGAATAAAACCCTCATTGCTCATTTCTGCACTAATTTCTCCTCAGTAAAATCCTTCTTTTACATTTCCTATCTCCCTCCCACTGAGACTTTAGTTAGGCCGAACTTAGTTTAACAGATATTTCACAATTTCACATATTTACTACCTAAGTTGTAGATATAAATGTGAAAAAACAATTTTTTTCTATTTCCGACAGTACTTTAGATCTGACGGCACCATACTCAATGAAGTCAGAAGGTTACAAGAATGACGTCGATGTGTTACAGGGATGAAGTCACGGTGTTACAAGATTACGTAAGTATATTACAGGGATGAAGTCGGTGTGTTAGAGGGTTGAAGTCAGTGAGTTACGGGGATGACGTCGATATGCTACAGGGATGACGTCGGTATGCTACAGGGATGACGTCACTGTAACGGGGATGACGTTGATATGCTACAGGGATGACGTCACTATTATGGGGATGACGTCGATATGCTACAGGGATGACGTCACTGTTACGGGGATGACGTCGATATGCTACATGGATTACGTCACTGTTACGGGGATGACGTCGGTATGCTACAAGGACGACGTCACTGTTACGGGGATGACATGGGTATGCTACAAGGACGACGTCACTGTTACGGGGATGACGTCGATATGCTATATGGATGACTTCACTGTTACGGGATGACGTCGGTATGCTTACAATGGATGACGTCACTGTTACGGGATGACGTCGATATGCTATATGCAGGATGACGTCACTGTTACGGGGATGACGTCGATATGCTTCAGGGATGACATCACTGTTACGAGGATGACGTCGGTATGCTACAAGGACCACGTCACTGTTACGGGATGACGTCAGTATGCTACAGGGATTACGTCACTGTTACGGGGATGACGTCGATATGCTACAGGGATGACTTCACTGTTACGGGGATGACGTCGGTATGCTACAAGGACGACGTCACTGTTACGAGGATGACGTCGGTATGCTACAAGGACGACGTCACTGTTACGGGGATGATGTCGGTATGCTTCAAGGACGACGTCACTGTTACAAGGGTTGAAGTCGGTTTATCATCCAAAACTGTGTTCCACAGGAGATATTGCTTGTGTGAGATCATACGATATCTCCTAGGAGTAGGAGAGTAGATTTTGTGCAATGCCCTGACAATGCTGTGACGTCATGAACTTGATGACGTCACAATGCTATGACAACGCTGCACTGTTGAGAGATGTATATTTTTCATTGAAAACTAATGAAGAGTGATTTTTTTATGATAACTAGAATCTCACCATAGTGTCTACTGATATCAATTATATCAACACTCGTTGGTAAAAGTAAAACCATCCCCGGTAAGCCCTCGGATATTTGTAACTTTATCAACTCGTGTTGATATAATTGATGTCAGTAGACACTTTGGTGAGATTCTCTTAAGAAATACAGTTCGCTCTAACACCATGTATAGTGTAATAAAGCCCACTTTCGCCCTGAAATACTGTAGTTAAAGCACGAGGACGCTTTAACGTTATAATTGTTCAGGGCGAAAGTGTGCTTTATTACTCTATACATAGTGGTAGAGCGAACTGTATTTCTTTTCTAAGATGCCAAATTTACTGCTTTCTAAGGATAATTACGATTAATCTAAGTCAGAAAACAAACGACGGTGTCGGTGATCTAAATTAAGAATCCTCGCACAGGGCTAACTGGCGCGCTGTTCTATTGATGTGTCTGGCCCCCTAGGTTAAGACAAACGTTACCAGAAAAAAATGATAACAGTTTGATGACGGTTTACGTCCGGACTAAATATCTTCTCTAAATTATTTTAATTACATCTGTGATTAACGTAAACCATATGGGGCGATATGAACGTCGCAATTTTTCTACCAGCGTAAGTTTAGATCAGTACATCCAGATGAAGCTGAGAAGTCAAGCGACATTCCACGATGGCATTGTGGGAATGTAAACATTGCGAACGTTACCGTGTCGCTGAAAACTTGTGAGTCGAATTGAGACATTTTAACCGTCGGAAAACATAAACGTAATGATTCCATCAGTGATGTTAGCTGCGTGAAGCAACTGCAAACCAAGAAACTGGATGCAAAGGAGTAGTTTACTGTAGACGGCCGTACGAGGCGATGACAACTGACATGCATCGTGACGTCGCTTTCATTGTGACGTAATGCAAAAGTGTTCGATTACGAGGGGGCAGACTAGAAAGGCGCAGTGACGCCAATACATTGTGACATAATGCAAAAAGTGCACATTATCGTCTTATAAAGTATTGTCGGCGCCTTTGATCTTTCACCGAAACATCTTAGAATATGAAATCGGTGTGTTACATGGATGACGTCGGTGTATTAAAGAAATGACGTCAGTGTTACAGAGATGACGTCACTGCATTACGGGACTGACGTAGGTATGTTACAAGGATGACGTCACTGTGTTACATGGATGGCGTGTGTAGGGTTACAATGAATGTGTTAAAGAGATACAGTCGGCGTGTGACATTGATGAAGTCAGTATGTTACCAGTTAACGTATCTGAAGATGCCCTTTATGTCCACTTGTTTCCTGAGCGCGACGTCCAGTGGCAGCAGGGTCCGCCCTGACGGTCGTCCCACAGCTACCAGACACCCGCCTTGCCGTGTCGCCTGAAATACAATAGTGAGTGAGTGAGTGAGTGAGGAGATTTGTCAGCTACATCACAGCTACCTGTCACCCAGTCTGGACCAGAAAACCCAGAGACTGAAAATGTAATCAACCAATAAACAAAGTCTGACCATCCGATCCCCATCGGTCGGAATGTATGTATTTCTGTAAACATCCAGCCCTTGAAGATCCGGGTTAGAATTGATCTTCAGTTACCCATGCTTGTCGTAATAGGCGACTAACGGGATTGGGTTGTCAGGCTCGCTGGATTTGCTTGACACATGTCATCGGTTCCCCATTGCGTAGATCGATGCTCATCGATGCCAGTTGATCAGTGCATTGTCTGGTCCGGACTCAATTATTTACAGACCGCCGTCATACAGCTGGAATATTGCTTTAGTGTGGCGTAAAACCTAAACTCACTCACTCACTATAAACATCTCTCGATAATTGGACAAGGAATTGAGAAAAACGGCCGTTAGTAATAAGCTCTGATCCGCCATCATGATAATCTCGGGTCATGACTCACATTAATTGCCAGATCATAGCTGTAGTCCACACTGCTACACTCAATCGTCACTTCCGGTTGACCTCCCATCAAAGCCTCGATTTCACTAGCAACCTCAAGCTTATCGCGCCCATTCACGTTGATTGTATGATTTGCACCGCATGATTTGGCCATCTCCAGTCTGTTGTCGTCTATATCTGTAGTTAAACTGAGACGTTAACATTTTGTCAGCATCGCAGCAAGTTCACACAAAGTCAGCGAGAGTTATCTCCCGTTTCTTGACAAACGTGACATTAGTAAACTAGTGCACAAAGCATGACAATAATATCTTTAACGCTGGTATCTAGGTAGGTAACAATCTACCATTCAATATTTATCCACTGACGGATCCAGTGAGTGAGTGAGTTCCAGCAATATCACGACGGGGCAACACCAGAAATGGGCTTCACCAGAAGCAAACCCGGGTCTTCAGCGGGACGAGCGAACGCTTTAACCACTAAAACTACTACCACTACTGTCGGAAATAGAATAAAAACTGTTATTGGCTGTTACTCTGTATCCCTAAAATTTACACAATTGCAAATAGCATATGTCGAAATAACCCACATCGGCCTAACTGGGCTTTCAGTGGGATGCGTAAGAGGATATCCAGAAAAGCATGTTTACTCGTAAAATCGGGAAAAATTACGAATAGCTGCCTAAAACAATAGATCAGACTACAGATGGCAATTTGGTCGCTCGGCCAGGTATGATGAAGGACCGAGCATGGAATGCACGTGCTGCCTACAGGCACAAGAGGGCATCTCAAAGATATTTCATGCGTTTTCTTGTGTGTTGAATATATCTCAAATCTTGATTAACATCTAACATGTCTTTTTTTCATAAAGTTTATGTTGAGATATGTAAAAAAATGATACCCATAGAAAGTCTTAAATCAGCCATCGTATTAAATGTCTCAAAATAAATAGGTAGCATGGCCACCCGAAGATCGACAGGACTGGGTATTATTTGTAAATTGTTACTTCCCCAGTTTAATTCACCTAAAGGATTATCTTATCTTAGCTGATATCTCTATCCCCAAGCCCGACCCCACCCATCGTCTGAGACACCCGTCCTGGTTTTGCTTTTGAGACGACCCCCCATTAGTGTTTGGTTATATAGTGGTAGTGAGACTCCATTGTAGCTACATCCTTAAGAGTTTTACAAGTAAAAATAATATTTTGTACGTCAGCTAAAGTTTCTAATGAAGCTAAGTCTAATTTCTAAAGCGTCTTTTGTAATACAATATCATCGCACACTAATTTGCATAAAGCCAAGGTCTGTTCCAAATAAGTCAACTTGGACTTACAAAAAAACCCACATTGCTCATTTCTGCACTAATCTCTCCTCAGTAAGGTCCTGTTTTGCGTTTCCTATTTCCCTACCACCGAGACTGTAGTTAGGCTGAACTTAGTTTAACAGATATTTCACGCTTTCACATAGTACCTATATAAATTGTTGATCTAAATGTGAAAATACATTTCTTTTTCTATTTCCGACAGTACTATAAGCTGCCCCACTACCTGTACGGATCCAGAGAGGGAGGGATGTGAATATTATGCGAACGCCTCTTGAAAAATTCTCCTCTGGTAATGTCGTGACTCTTTATTGCATGACACATGCGATTTACTGTATACGTTCCGCCCCTTAGTCCCGCAGGATCCGCATTTCGACCCCATTGTGGTCTCTATTCAAAAACTTCTTTGGTCTGTCACAATCATTACCATTACCACGTTTACAGGGTTGCCCTCGCTTTGCCATGCCAGGATTTGTTTATCACATTCGAGATCAGGGTTGGGCCTTGTTTGTCAGTAAAATCTTTAATCAGTGTTTACGACAGTAGTAAACGACCGGGCCTGCATTGCGTTTCTTCCGTGTCAAGCTGACACGTGAATAACTAAAAACAGTTCATATTGGTGTCTCTACCACTCACTCACTCACTCATTATATGGTGTACAATCATATCCTGACTCATTCCTCATGTTTTTGAATGTTTTTTTCCCAGATTTGTATATTTACAGCGCGTCGAGATATGGTTGTATTGCGGCGTATAACAACATTCATTTAACAGAACCTGTGATTAAAACCTGTGAAGCCCCGGCCACTTTCCCCGCCATCATGTACAGCATTCCCACAGGTCCTGAAAAGATAAAGGACTGTGCGAAATATGAAAACGATTGCCCAGCTCTAATTCGATCGTAAAATCAGTTTTATGATAGTCGTCGCGCTACGTTCGTTTTGTGGAGGGGCGGACTTAGTGATAGTCATCGCGCCCGAATACGTCTCGTATTTCTTTGTGGAACGGAGCTCACGGTCAGCTTACGGTCAGACTCGCACCTTTATATGTTTTCTGTAAATGTCGAAATAACTCAGCTATGTCCCTGTTTGGTAATTCAGCTCTGAGTGATTTATACTCTTCAAAGAAAAGTAGGGGAACCTGAACTTTCAATTTGGATAGGAAGTACAAACTTACAAAGACAGACATCTTATGAACGCACCACCATTTCTCTTTATCACCAACCCTAAACATTAACGTGGGATGGGATGCACGTGCACAACTAAATAGCTCCATACACGTGCATGGGGTCCATTCTTGATTTGGACGCTTTTCAATAAGGTAAATCACTGTAGACCATTAATTTTGACAATCATCTTGCATCACACAGTATGTTGTTAGTGTTTGTTTCTAGACGTTTTTTTGTTTGAAAATGAAATCGTACACTTACAAATTCCACGTCATACACCAATAATCTTTGAAGACCGATTACTGTACGAACAACTATGGTCATAAGGAAGTGCAAGTGATGATGCACTTTCAAACAATCATTATTATCATACCAAAATTGATTGACTCCGATACATCTCCAAACGTTTTCAATCATTAATTAAAAGTTCCCTCACTTTTTTGAAGAGTATATTTCAGATAAAACAGGTTGGTGTTCACGTTTAAATATCAAGGTCTAGTTGGGATAAGGGAGATCACTCACCGAGTAACCGCATACATGTTAAATTTTATATGGGGCATCGTTTCGCTAAGATTAAAGATCAAGATCGTGTTATGGCGTTATACCTGCTCCACAGATCAGTAACTTTGACCCAAGAGTTACCTCCCCTCGGCGACATGCGTAGATCGCTACAGACAGTGGTTCCATGAGAGCACCTTCATCTAGTGTCACGTGATCAGGTAGTCTGTAGCAAACATAAAACAGAATTTGATATTCCGTGAAAAGAAAATACTTGCTATACTTTCGGATCAAAGGATCAGTTGCAATATGGATCACAGCTACTTCTAATTTCACGGCTAGTTTGAATGGGTACCCGTAAGAACGCGCAGAGTTCACACCACAGAGGACGCATCTAGTTTTTTCAGGTTTTGAAAAACACCTTTCCCTGGCTGTATGATACATCTAAATGCGGGTTAATTTCGTGGCTTACTTGAAACAAAAATCTTCAGCGTGTTTGTAGTATCGGCAGATGTTTCCGTGATCAGGGGGCGTGGCACAGAACGTGATATCGGGGCAGAGGTTGTAGGCGCCTTGCTTGCACTGATGACACCGTCGACACGGGGTGCCCGGCTCTATCGCCACCCGATCTCCTACAGCAGTTGTGGATCAACGTACGTGTCAGAGTTACATCGTTCATTCGTTACACAATGAGTCAAATACAAGAAATAGTTGCAAATACGCTGACGTATGAAATAACGTAAACACCTATTGCTTTGTTAATATTTACAAAGACCCCAACGTAAATATTACTTAAAGTGTTTTGTCATGACTTAGTGTTTGGCAACATGTACACAATGTTTGTGACTTCAAAATACCTTTCAAAAAATGTTTGGTTTTATAGTTACGTTGTTTACGTTTAAATAGTCGAAAATCACCAGGTGTGTACTTTCTTTGTACGTCAGTATACTGACCCCAACAAACGACCTTTCTGTCCTACATTAACTCCATAAGTCTATACATTCATATCAAAGTGTTATCCAATGTTGTTAACCTAGGCAGGGTCACATAAATGTCTCATGAATCGTAGTTAAAGGTTTTCCCTAGATGTGAACGGTTTTATCGGATGTTTGTAAGGTGGAGATAGTTTTATAACATCTTTTTGACGAATAACTGAAAGTAAAATAATACCTGCCTATTTTCAAAGTTTTGACCTTTGACCCGACCTTGACCACAGTTCCACTGCCCTCGTGACCAATAATCATCGGGGCCTCGAGTCTGAATCTGCTGTTGCCGCCTCGCTGCCAATACATTATGTCGGATCCGCAGATTCCAACAGAACCCATTTGTAGCAGAACTTCTGCAAAGATACGGCCGCTACATATGGGTAGGTGTATGTTTTTTTTCAAAGAGTAGGTCAGTTCCAAGGTAATTAAAAAATAAACGATATTATTACTCACCCGTTGAAGATATCACTGTTTAAACAATCTACAATGTTATTACAAATTGTGTAATTTAACAACGCGTGCTGCCGGAACTATTTGCACTTGGTCACATGACCAAAATAACGTGATCAAAACAAAATGTCGGCTGTCATTCACAACACGTCTCGAACTCTCGATATTCATCTGTTTCTCGTCTGGTTGCGTGTAATAACATATATATAAATATATGTTAGTTGAAGTTATCTGGTTCCTTTTTCATACACCCTTGTTTATCTAAAAATCAAATTAAATAGACTAATGTTATCAATGATAGATGACATGTATTCATACGCGTGACCCCTGTTATGAAGGCGTAATGCACTCGTTCTGAGATATTATTATGCTAATGTTGGGCGAGTAATAAATAAAATAATAAACGACGTCCCGTGTAATATCATATTTATGAACCTCCTGAATGGTTCGGTATCTAACGAGCGATATGATCAACGGATTAGATGCCTGGTGATAGAAGGAATGCGTGCAGAGCTAGAAAGATTATATATATCTTTCAAAACAATTTTCATTAGACCTTAGTACTTCCGGTGACAAACAACGTTTTATACCTTTTCGAATGGTCTCATTGCTGTCAGTTGTACAGTAAGGAACCGATAACCCTTGCAGGAATAACAGATTTCTGATCTAACTATCCCCAAATTAGTCAACTATTACGACTGACAACAGTTGTGACAGCAAAACCCGATCCGGTGTAGTGAAGTCATACATGGCGGTCGCGCAATTTGGAACCAGAACTGTTTTTTTAATATACGCTTGTCACCGGAAATCTGGTACCGGAAGTAAGCTGGGCCTCGTCTCGATATTGCAAGTGAAAGACTGACTTTCCTTTACCTGAGAAGGTTACGTACGCTCACGATTCGCGATGACCTCGTGTCATCACTATTTGATAGTCATTCGTAAACACAAGGATTGATGTGGTCGGAAATGTACATTGAAGTTTATCAGAGATTGTCTAAAGAAATTTATTTACAAATTGATTGACAGAAGGAAAGTGATGTATACTGACGGCAACATTTATGGACCAACTTACCATTATCTTTAAGGTCAGGCACTGGAATCGGTTCCTGTAAAACAAAAGAACGCTTGGGAATATTTGTAAGATATTGAAAGCGCTTAAGGCGGAAGACTAAAGTTTTCAAACAAAATGCTTTCGACAGTAGCGTTTACAGAATACTGTCATTAGCAAAACCAAATGACATCTTAAAGTTCTCCCAGAATGTTTTGTTTGTTATTTTTTAACTGGAAATATTTGCCGTATAAACATACGACATTCTCGCTGTACGACCTATGGTGTTTATCGAGTGAATGATATTGCGAGCACCAAGCCACTACGTCGGTTACGATGAGACGCAATGGATTCAGTCCCCGAGCTATTCAGACGCTGCTTACAACAATTATAGTAATGTTTGTCTTCTATAGATCCTTAGTATAGACAGAGATATCCACAAGTAGATGTGTGCTTGTAGCCCCAGGGCAAATTTAAGGCCGATCATGAAATCGGATTTTAGTAGGGTCCTGATTGTAGAAAAGTAAAAGTAGATTATCTTGAGGTGAGGTGAGGTGAAATTGGGTTTAACATCGTGCTTGAGAATATTTCGCTCATATGACGACGTGCATGCGTGTGTATGTGTATGTGCGGCTGCTTGTCCTAGCCCAGACTGAAGCTGGTTTTATAGTGCTAGCCGACTGAGCTACCATGCCGCAGTGAAGCATGAATACCCCACTCAGACAAATTATACTGACTCTGAGCCAACCAGTCCTTGTTGTACCCATTAATACCGAGCTCCAGGCGGGGACCAACAAGTACCATATTTTAACGTCTTTTGGTATGACGCGGTCGGGGATCGAACCCGCGACCTTCCGCTCTCCGGGCAGATTATCTTGAAGAGTTGCCCCAAACCCTGGCCCCTTTCCTTCCAAATTGATGCTATTGCGCACAGCAGCCTTAAGACCTATATATTCACATAAGCAGTCGGTTGTTATGTATCACGGGTTTGCAAACACAAAAATGATGCCTTTATTTTATAAAAAACAATGTTTGTTGTGGCCACCAAATTTCACACACAATTGTAAAGGTATATTGTGTTTGCAAACCTTTGGTATGCATGATATTCTGCAAAAAATATATACACCCGTGCATTAATTAAGCACCACCCTATTTTTAAACTACGATGTGATGCTACAGAAAGGTTAGGGTATAGTCATCAATGTAATCGACCTGTAGTTAAAGAAGCTTTATCCACTGACAGTTTTACAAATACCATAACCCTTTCTATTCTTTTTGAATGAATATGTTCATGAAAATGTTATGGGACTGACATTTTCCCAAAATACGTATTCCTCTCCTGATCAAACTACACAGTTAAATTAAGTTTTGATTAAAATAACGATTCTGTTATATACCAAAATGACATTTACACATCAAGTAAGCTTTAATTATCCATAATCAGGAAGAACCCGAATGTCAAAGATTCAGACCTTTTTCCAAACAATTCAGATGGCTAATTGACAAAACCTGATAAAGGCTACATTACTAAGGTTTTGGAATAAATCATTTAAGATTTTGAGTTTATTGTATTGAATAAACACTTCTTCTTGCCGGATACTGATAATTGCAGCTAAAATCTGTTTGTTTTGTTTGTACAGCAACTTTTACTGCATTTTAAAATTTGACTTTATTTTTAGTTTGACTGTAACTTTTCCTCAATCTTAGTTTACAATGAACAATGAATAACGAATTTATAGGCAACATAACAATCAATTATTACTTTCACTTTTCAAAACTAGGTAACTTGTTTTAGGACAGAAAAACACCTGTTTTAAACATAGGCGATTATACTAATTAAAGAACATGGTAATTTCAATGATGTTTTCGTTTTTCAAATGCTTGTAATGCTTGCTCTATCAAATTATAAAGGTTATATCTGGGAAAGAGTTTAGAAAAATACAGGGTGGTGCTTATTTTATGCACGGATGTATATATCATGATTGTGTGATCTGTTCGGTGCTTGTCTTGATCATGATGCCCATCACTTATTTGTTTGGTGAGATACACGAGTATTTACAGAACGCCATCACATCTCAAGCTTGACTAACCGAAGTCAAGTTTCGAGAGTAGGTGAATTTTAGGGCGACACTGGGCCTGAAAAGGTCTGCATGCGCCCAGTGTCAAAAGTAAATGTTTTACAGAGTTACTTCCCTTAGTTCTTTTCTGCATCCCCAAATGGGACACATTCACTTGAAAACCTCTCTGGTTGCAAGATCTATTAATATACGCTCCCAAAAAAGAAACGCATATAGGAATTTCAACTGTATTTTTTGATTCTTTTGAAACATCTTGTAGGCTTTATGAGTCAATGAAACATAAAGAAATTACACACTGGGAATGCAGACTTATCCGTCTTTGGCACCAACTCGAGGACAATCAGTTTGGGTGCCACATGGAGACGTGTGGTGGCGCTGAAGTCAATACCTCTTGTGACCACCGTGGGCATCCAGTGCACAGCATCGCCTCGGCATCGCCTCGGCATCGAACGAATCAGTCTCAGAATCTCGTGTTGCCCAATCGCAGCCCACTCTGCCTGTAGGGTCTGTGCGAGTTGCTGAAGTGTCTGGTGCTGAGGGTTACGGCGTCGCCCCGTCTGTCCAGGGCATCCCACAGATGTTCGATCGGGTTTAAGTCCGGTGATCTTGAGGGCCAGGGGAGCACATTGATGTTGTGGTTCTGGAGGAAGTCTGTAGTGTGACGTGCTGTGTGGGGCCTGGCATTGTCCTGTTGAAACAACTTCCTCTGGCGATCAATGATTGGAAGGAGGTGTGGGCGTAGGATTTCGTCACAGTACCGTTGAGCTGTCAGGTTGCCTTGGATCATCACCAGATCACATCTCCTACGACAGGTGATCGCTCCCCCACATCATAACACTGTCCCGGCCGAATCTGTCCTCCTGGGGAACGCAAGCGTCGGCGAAACGTTCACGTCGACGTCTGTACACCCGCATTCTTCCATCGCGTCGTTCCAATAGAAATCGTGATTCATCACTGAACCAGATTCTACGCCAATTCGGTAGGTTCCAGGCCTGAACGTTGGTGCACCATTGAACTCGATGTCGACGATGTTGTTGTCGAAGCACAGGGCCAAAATAAGGTCTTCTGGCACGTAAACCAGCCTCTCTCAACCTGTTCCTGACGGTCTGTGCAGAAAGCCTCCTCAATCCGGGTATTTGTTGAGCGGTACTGGTCGCCGTAGCTGTTCGATGACGCAGGTGATGTACCCGGATGTAGCGATCCTGCGCCGCAGTGGTCGCTCGAGGTCGCCCACTACGAAGGGCATCTGCTACTGAACTCTGCCGGCGATATCTCTCCCAGAGGCGTGAAATGGTGCTTTGGTGAACATTCATGCGTCGGGCAACTGCACGTTGAGACTGGCCAGCTTCAAGCAAACCAATGGCGATATGACGGTAGGCTTCACTTAGACGTGGCATTTTGCGTTCGTCAACAATATTCCAAATACAGTGAATAATCGACAGACAGACAACCTTTTTATACTCATCATTGAGACGATCTGATCCCCAACTTTGACGTGCATTGCATGTGAATTGTGTATTCTGTGACACTACACGCCGAAATTGAAAATCATGCTGTTAAATACGGGTATTTTACGGATGGTGCGTTTTGTTGTGATGTTTCAAAACATACACACCATAGGACTCATAAACAGAGCAAAACCTTTTGTAAAATGAATCATGTTTTAATTCATTGCTACATGAAATTGGTATTTTCATGATGCGCTTCTATTTTGGGAATGTATATATTATCAAGGAAAATCCAGCATCGAAAATCTGTTTGACAGAGTTATCGCCCTTGTTCTTTTGGATTTAATCAATCCTACCGGAAATGAAGACAAGTGTTTTGTAAACCAGCAAAGATGACATTTTGAGCAAATCGTTGATGAGCCAGTCAAAACTTTATGATTCCAGAGTTATGGCCCTTGTTTCATTATTTTCTTTAGCTTGCTCAAACGTTAACAGGATTCAGGCCAAGAGTAGAACCCATGACATTTTTTGCACTATTTGGGGAAACTTTTAAAGGTCACATGCAACGTAAAAACACAACTTTGCAGATTCTCATACCTTTTGGTATAGACTTACCGAAACAAATGCAAATTCAACTTAAATAGTTGAAAAATAACGTGATGAAAAAAACCCGCGCGAAATCGTAGTTCAAACGATTCACTAATTTTCCCCCAGCGCTTGGGGGAATTCAAGTGGTTTCAACAGCTGGGCTGCGCTCATAGCACATGCGCAGTGAAATAGGTTTGCACAGGTTGGATGCAGGTTGTCCGGTGAATACTCGGAGAAGATTTTGGTGTGAACTATTTTTCTAATGTTTTCTTGATATTTCACAGGCGCGAGCTTTTTATATGTTAGGACAGTAGATTAACTGTTTATATAATTTCGTTTGTCTATTTCACCACACGTTCTTCTTACCGAGTCACTTTCTCAGTTCGATACTTAAAGGCAATGTCATTATTTAGCGTTGACAGAATTTCTAACTGTGATATAGATATGTCGTTGTCACAGACAAAACTCAATGTCTGTTTTAGTGACACCTATGTGTCTGCCTGCCTGTCTGCTAATGACAATATTCAATACACAACTTCGATCACTGACCGCATGCAATTTGAACGTAACACCTATCAGGCTATACACCATAAACAAAAACGCATTGATTTATGGCCCGAGTTCGGTCTCTGTCACATTATGTAACTACACAGACAAAGCAGGTGTGATACTAGTTCACATGACATGTTATGATGTCTGTTGATTGCAAAATGTTATACACAAAAAATGAGCATGTATTTACAAAACCCAACGTCTCTCTATACACACACAATGAGCCGTGAGGGCATCTGCTAATGAACCAGCCGTTACACTTGAGTGCACACCCACCCGCTCTAACTTGGTTCGGTATCCCGGCTGCTTCGTTTCTTGGGAAGTAAGCCCAATTACAAAATATTGCACTTTTGATTTGCGATTGTACGGTTATAATTTTGTTTATATGTTTTTTCATAACCAGCAATGTATATTAACTGTCATGAATAAGTGATACTTGTGTTTTAATTATGTTTGATTTTTGTTGTTGCATGTGACCTTTAAACTATAAATTACATTTTGTGAAGTTTCTTTTTTGACTCAGTATAGTTTGAATAAAGGTAAGGTTTATTTGCAGATGGAGACTCTGGTTTCTTGAAATTTGGGAGGTATCCCGACACTGTAGTATACATGTAAAGAAAAGCATATTAAGGCCCGCTGTGTCAAAGTATCTATTGAAGTATTGACAAAATGAGGTGTTCTTGTTACGTTTTCATAATTTGAAATGTGCAGCTGCATGAGATAAACAAACTGTCCTCTATATATACTGAGTCATAAAAGAAACTTCACAAATGTAATTTGAATAATAATGAATAATTTATCTCTGATGATACATCTATGTATCCGAAATGGGATCCCTATCTTTCGACTCTAGAAAAACGTTAGCAAAACCCACTCAAACCCATCCATTCGTCGTGCAAATGACGTTAGTGCCAAATCAGGATTTGCACGTGCAGTCGATCACGTGATCTTCGCATCGAAGTTTTCTTCATATGCACGTGTTTGCATTGGCCTCAAGAATTGAAAAAACACTTTTAAACCACAGTTCTAGCGGTACTTGAAAAGCCACGATTGTCAAATGTGCAACGTGAACGTGCCGTTGGCATGTTGCAAGCGGGAAGATCAGTTATTGACGTCGCAAGAGCAATGGGATGCAGCCGTCGTACTGTGTATGACTTGCGAGGTCGTCTACAACAAACTGGCACCACTTCTGATCGCCCAAGGTCGGGTCGTCCACGTGTGACGTCACGAGCAGAAGACCGTCAAATCGTCCTACGTCACCTACGTGACAGATTTCTGCCGGCTACACGAACCAGGGCTGAAATGTTTAGAGGTCGACTGTCCTCACAGACCATTCGAAATCGGTTGCGGGCTGCCAATCTCCATTCTCGACGTCCATATCGTGGGCCAATATTGACGTCGTTTCAACAACGTCAACGTCTGCTGTGGGCCCAACGTCACCTCCGATGGACCCAGAGAGACTGGAATCGAGTCGTCTTTAACGATGAATCCAGGTTTACCCTCAGATTCCCCGATTTCAGGCATAGAGTCTGGAGACGACGTCGTGAACGGTATGCCCAATGTTGTGTACAAGAAGTCGACAGATTCGGGGGCGGAAGTTGCATGGTGTGGGGTGCTTTCTGTAGGAACAACCGTTCCCGACTTCTGGTCATCCGTACAAACCTCACAGCTGCTGCTTACCGCGACCAGGTGCTCATTCCTGAACTCGTTCCTTTCATGGCGGCACATGGCCCAGGTCTACAGTTCCAGCATGATAATGCTCGGCCGCATACCGCGATCTTGATACGAAATTTCCTTCAAAACGCTGAAATCAACGTCATGGACTGGCCATCGCGGTCCCCTGACCTTAATCCAACAGAGCACGTTTGGGATGCACTTGGGAGAAGGCTTCGTGGTCTTAGGAACCGACCTCAGAATTTGCAGGAACTTGGCGCTGCCTTGCAAGAACAATGGCGCAGAATCCCCAACCACGTGTTCACAAGCATCAGGCAGTCGATGAGGAGACGGTGTTTGGCAGTGGTGAATGCGCGGGGCTGCCATATACGATATTGAACTGAGAGATTTCGCATTTTTATTCCCGTGACTTGACATTCTGTATACCCATGTTTTGGAACGGCGGTGTAGCCTAATGGAACTGATTATGGCACTGTCAGTGTATCGAGTACATCACACAGATCTCAGCAATGAAATAATAACAATTTAACCACCTTACCATCTCTTTTTTTTATAGTGCCCTGAAGAAAGAATGTGAAGTTTCTTTTTTGACTCACTATATATTCATGAGAACCTGCTAAACCAGTGAAGCCTATTCTTGTACAGTGGTAGCAGACACTAAAGCAGTGCATCAGCTCTAAACATGGCACTTATTCTTAATTAGACATGAGATTTCATATCTGTTTGTGGTAGCGAGACAATTCTCTTGTGCTCAGCCATGTATGGTGTTTTGAAATACTCAGTAAGATAGACTCAAAAGCAGGACATCGCCCCGCCTCTCATCCTTCAGGGTTTAAGATGTCTTACACAACCGCATTGCTCTACTTAACAGCACGGATTTGTTTGTAGGTCATTCATTTAAGACGATAGATAATAAGCAGATCCAAGAATAAGACGGCCTGCTTTTACTGATGCCTACATGAAGCTCAACATCATATTATATATATTGACCTATATAGACGGGTCACCCGCCCGGTATTCTATCATTAATTTCTGAGCGGTTAGTTAACATATGAAGCGACGTGTAATTCATCTCACGGAAAACGAAACAAATGAGGTCATTTAGCGCTGACACAAATCATACTACGGTAAATCACTAGATACTTTAGAAAACCAACAGGTGCCCTGCTGTGCGCAGCTAAATGTGCGCCGTGATGCACGTGAGCTTCGTGACAAGCTCGTGACGTCCGTGCTAGGTTTGTGTATATACTCACGATCACCAGGTCTTTGATAGCACGGAGGACTACTGCCTCGTTGTGTTCCACCGCCATGATGGATGTAATATATACAGGCGAAGATTATCGCTGGCTGTGACATACATTTAATGCATTCAGCCCTTCCTAAGTCGAATGTGGTACAGCTGGTATTCGTAACGTCAAGCTACAGCTGACTGACCTAGTTTCAGGAACTGGATCAAAGTGGTGCTATCTATTCGCTGAGACATGAAATGTGATATATAATATCGGTATGACAATTCAATTCAATTATTGCATCTTTCAAATGCTCTTGAAATATATTCTCAGACGAGCTCATTAATTTCAAAGGGGTGTTTATGCTGTCCATATTTGCCTACAGTACTTAGTGAAGGCGAGTTGGGATGTAGGCGAATTGGGATGTAGGCGAAGTGAGAACCAACCATATCAGTCGGGTAAGAGTTGGTTTTACACTTGTAATGGACTCTGGGCCAGAGGGGCGGTGGGGTAGCCTAATGGTTAAAGCGTTGGCTCTTCACGCCGAAGACCCGGGTTCGAATCCCCACATGGGCACAATGTGTGAAGCCCATTTCTGGTGTCCCCCGCCGTGATGTTGCTGGAATATTGCTAAAAGCGGCGTAAAACCAAACTCAGTCAGTCAGTCAGTCTGGGCCAGACAACCCAGTGATCAACATCATCAGCATCGATCTACGCAACTGGGATACGATGACATTTGTCAACCAAGCGAATGAGCCTGACCACCCGATCCTGTTAGACGCCGCTTTCGACAAGCATGGGTTACTGAAGACCCGGATCTTCACGGGTTCAAACGAAATCTGAACTAAATATGTTGGCAATGCGCTTTTGAAAGTATGTCAGATGTATTTTTCATGTTGGCCGTTGGCCTATTAAAGAAATAAACGTATATTCTATGAACGAGGTCTGGGATGAATGTAAATGAGGTTCGATCTATATACTGTAAGGATCCAATTTTGGAAGATGATCCCAAAACAGTTTTATTTTGTATACGAGTTTAGATTTTGTCATAACATTCACGAGAAACATAAACGGAGCACAGGTCAACACGAATGTTGTATATGATTGAGTTTCCACACAGCAATCGGGGAAGAAAAACCCCACACGCATCACGAACCCATAGTATCAATACGTTTATCGGCGGTTGCAGCGGTAGATCAAGTTCCCCTGATGCCGTCGTTTCACAGTGCAAGCAGTTCTCTTTACCGTCAACGTAAAAAGACCATCCGATCCTGCCTCATACTCTTGATGACGTACACCTGCCTGGTGAGTGGACGACGACTTCAGATGACCAACCCTTCCTGATCTTCAGTGATGGTAATGACAACAAGATTTTTGCCTTTTCCACATCAGAGATGCTGCAATCCCTTCAGTCAGCAGAGACGATTTACATGGACGGAACTTTCACTTCATGCCCTGAGCTTTGGGATCAGGTATATATGGTTTAAACATCTCCAAACAATGTAGGGTGGTGGGGTAGCCTCGTGGTTAAAGCTCGTCACTCCGAAGACCCGGGTTCGATTCCCCACATTGATACAATGTGTGCAGCCCATTTCTGGTGTCCCCTGCCGTGATATTGTAGTCCTAGGCCAAATGTTAGAAAAGTCCCTATCTTTTAGGATCTCTCAGCAGCAGTAAAAGCGTTATCCAGTAATTGGTATGACAACTCCCACCCTCCAGAGATTCTTGTCAATGTGGAACTAGACACAGAATGTATCAGGTTGCTGAAAACAAACAAGGATTACCCCGCTGTTGAAACAGTGTCTACATGTTCATAGACCAACTGCATGAGTATTAACCGCATGGTTTAATGGACGGTGACAAGCACTGATGTTCAACATGATCAGGATATGCAGTATGGGTGATAAGTGTGGTGTATCATATTACCTGATAATGAAGTTATCTCTACATTTGACCTAGGAGTAATTGCTGGAATATTGGCGTACAACCAAACTCAGTCAGTCAGTCCAAACAATGTACATTTGATCCAAAATAAATTGAGTGACGGAAATCCGGTACTAAACTGTTTACCATGTTATAAAAAAGAATGAATTTATGAAGATGTCTTCTTTTTTCTAATGACGTAAAGTTATTTCCCAGATATGCATAGTCCATGATCGAAGAGGTAACAGTACCTATGCCCTGATATACGCCCTGCTTCCAGATCAACAGACGACAACATACAGACGGTTCTTCAGTCTGCTGAAAAGTCACGTCCATGAACAGCTTCACAGAGATCTTGCGCCATCTTAAGTTCAAACAGACTTTGAACTAGCTTCCATTCGTGCTGTGAAAGCCGAATTTCCTCCTGCAGAGATGAAGGGATGCTATTTTCATTTCACACAAACCATCTGGCGCAAGACGCAAGACCAAGGACTAGCTAGACATGTTTAACAATGGATTGGGCGTGTTGTAAGCTTACCGCTCCTTCACAAGAGCTGGTGAAAGACACGTGACTTGAATCCATGAATTCTTCCCCTGACGTTAACCGTGCTGAAGACTACAATGATTATATGGTTGTGAACTGGGTAGACTATGATGCCAGATTTCCTCTTCACCTGTGGAACCATCACCAAACACGGGGCCCCGCACGGAAAATAACCTTGAAGGCTTTCACAAAAGACGCAACCGAACCTTGCCTCATAACCACCCGAACATATACAGATTATTTGCCGTTATTCGGAGGACAGAGACCGCAGATAGAGTCAAACTTGCACAGATTGACTTTGGGGCGGCTCCACCTACACAGAAACGGGTCTACAGGGAGCTGGAGTACAGTATCCAGAGACTGAAAGACCAACTCCAACAGGGAGCAATGTCTCCGATAGAATTCCTTGATGCCATCGGACACTTGATTAAGCTCGGTAAACCTCATTTTCGGATTCTGTGACTTTGTCTTATTCTTATTTGTCCAGTGCTTCTTATTTTGTCTTATTGTCGGATTCAGAATTGTTTGTCCATATTGTTGTAAATATTTTGATAAATCCTAGTCCAGTGCTTATAGTGTTTTGTCTTATTTGCCATACACAAGTATGGGTCATTCTATTCTAAAGTCTCGAGGTAATAGGAAGGAGATTAGATGTACTATTATCTGTAAAGTTGTTTGTATGAGGCTGTGTAACTAATGGCACGTGCACGTGTAACTAATGGGAGGATACCTGCCGGGGGTATTCTCAGGACGTCGACTCTCCCAAATTTTCCATTCGCAGGAATGGGACCTCCAGTTTGTCTTTGATGTTTGATGTTATTATAACAAGGGAATAACAAGGGACTGCCGTCAGTGGTCATCTCAAAGTGACTACAGGCCCTGACTGGCAACGAACAGTGTTCACTCCAATCAACTCAGAGATTACATGAAGTGTATTCACTTCATTATGTTCACTCAGTGTCCTATTAAAGAACTAGTATATATACGCTAGAAATGGAGGTTGTTGCATCACGTTCGAAATGTCAAACGCTCAGATAGATTGTAAGTTTCTCCCAACAGCACGTGGTGGAAGATATTTATGTGTAGCTGGCTTTATGTATAGAATTGGTAAAAGAAAGAATGGGGACTGGTTTCTTGGAAATGTACCACCAGAGGCTGCAGTGCCACTGTTTCCACTGTGATGACATCCTGACGAAGGAGGCTCACAACCATAACCATCCTCCTGTCCACAACGACATTAAGGTAAGTTAAACAACACATAACTTTATTTTAAACGAGACATGTGAAATAATATATACACAGATCACATATCAATAAATCAGATAAAATGCATATTCCAGTTATGTTGATTTGTGTATTTCAAATTGCTAAGTCTCAGTAGCATTGTAATAGTTTATTCTTTTACTTTTTAGGTGCAAGAGACTCTTTAAAATCCCAAAACCAAGGCTGCAACGACCCTCACACCGATGCCAACCTTGTATGAAGAAGGAGTGTTAACCCTTAAAGATGGAGACTGGACAGATGAGACACGATCCCTGGTAGAAGCTAGGCCGACGGTCCACAGCAAGAAAGACGTCCTGTACCGTGCCAGGAAGAAGCAGGTCTGGCATACCATAGAAGAGACCTTCTCATTCCTGACACGTATCAGACGACAGATGCCGGCCACCGCTTCTTCATCATTGACACCAACTATCTTCTATCAGCTCTATACTCTGCATGCGATGGTTGGCCACATCTTGTTTTCTTGCACCTACCGGACAAGCGACAAGTCACGTATGAACGAGCTACCAGGACGTCCAGGGAAGACTCGGCATCTTGAAAGACAGGCTACGGAGGGGAGACGTCGACGTTCTACACTTCGCTGATGCTGCCTCCCATATTGGATCACTCCAGTAATGTCCATTGAAGCTACTGCTGAATCTTACATTTGTATGCTGTCTGCTTTGTTAATAAGAAAATGTCCATTAACAGATATCTTAGTTGGTTTATTTCATATACGGCCCCAAACCCCGTCCCCACCCCCACCCCCAACACAGGGAATTAAATCGTTAAACTCACACTGACTGTCAATTGTTTTCTATAACTGGCTACCGGTAGCATTCGCAGGAAGGGGACCTGCTGTTTTCTTGGTTTGTTTTCCTACGACTCGAGGAGTCGTCGTCCTGCGAATGAACCCCCTGCTGTACGACAAAGCACGCTGCACGATGTGTTTGCAAGGATAAGAAGGAGCGTAGTATTGCAATATACATGTGATTAGATGTAACAAATGAAACTGATTAATATATATATATATCCAGTTGGATGAGTTGGTCTAAATATTCTGGACTGGTTATTGTACTAAGTTGCGCAATAGGACGGAACCCAGTCAGACGGAAACGAGACTATTGCGTAATCAATGTTTTGACTTGTGTTACTAATGTTACGAATCAGTGTCATAATCTGACATGCCCTTGTGGTATAGCTAAAATGTGTGTCAGATTAGATGTCAAATATATTAATTTTCCTCAGGTTTTCACATAAAAAAGGTTTGTTAGGCGTTTTGCCATTGGTTCTTGACAATATTAAGCAGTGTTTTAATATATTGACAAGACGTTCTACAACTGAAACATCATTTCGGCGCTAAACCTCAGTTCACTCCCCT